TTTTTTTTTTTTTTTTTTTTTTTCGTTAGCTACATTCTTTTAAAACAGAAGTTCGGATCATAAACGCTGATGCTTATCTTTTACAAGTCTTTCCTTCTTCTCCTTTTTTATTATTCTATCTTCCGTACGAATGAATAAAAATTATCATCAACTTTGGAGAGTGAAGAATTGTTCAAAAATCAACTGGAAGTTTAAATTTAATGGAATTATATTTACAAAATTATTCCACTTCGATAGATTTCTTCCATTTCAATATTAATCGTCACTTTTGCAATTAAATTCTAAAAAATACTCAGATCCTGTTATTGTTTAATATTTTTTCGCAGCATTTTTTGGTCCAATTTCTGTACCTTCAGAATGAAACGATGAACAATAATTTTTGTCGAGAAACAGATTGCTTCTAATTTACGATTTGTTTGAATAGATTTGGAATTGCCTGTATCCCTTGATGGCATTAATTAAAGCACTAACATTTCTATGTATATTACATGCAATTACATACAGAAATGGCATACATAATTAGTGACAGCGAGTGCTCAATGGCACGTTCAATCTGATTTAGGAAATCAATGTAACATATCTCATACGCGAAATGTGAAAGACTGTGTAAATTCTTTTGACAATAGTTCAAAACAAACATTTCTTTCTCATTGAAAATTATGAAAATTCAAACATATCTTCGGAAGAATTAAAGAGTTTTACGACCTACTGTACAATTTTTCGTCCACCATTTTATTGTACTTCCAAGATCAAGATTAGGTTATGTTTAGGTTAGGTTAGGTTAGGACCAAGAAAAATCTTTATTTACGCGATGTAAAAACATCTTAGAACAAAATTGACGACGAATTTTAAAAATAAAGAGTTCGAGCTTCAAAATGAGCAAAATTCATTATTATAATTTCTCTTTGCAAAGTTATAACAATTTCAACATTTAATTGTATTGATATTGCAATACTTTAAATGCATAAAAATGAAAAAAAAATCGGCCTCTACTTTCACAATCCTGAGATATTTTTCTATCGTATGACGGATGAAAAAGCAAACATTTCTTCCTCATTGAAAATTATGAAAATTCAAACATATCTTCAGAAGAATTAAAAAGTTTTACCTGCTGTACTATTTTTCGTCCACCATTTTATTGTACTTCGAAGATCAAGATTAGGTTATGTTTAGGTTATGTTTAGGTTAGGTTTTTTAAATTCAATGTGACTTTACTATATTGCACTATCTGCTTTTTTTTTATTTAATTTTCCATCGTTAATGATTTTAATTGCGACTTCAAATCGAATGACCTTCGAATTGGGAAAATTACGCAAGATGAGGAGTATCTGAAAATTTCACAATTTTGAAACGTGACGAAACTTTCATTCAAACTTCAATTTGCTCGCGTAGATGCTCGAATGAAATTGTATTTCCATGGAAATTGCCCCGTGCATTGATCTAGAGATCAATCATCTCAATTGTTTGGCCAATTAAAATATTCACGATCGGCGAGCACAGAAATTAGATTCCGCGATGAAATGGAAAGCTGTGACCTAATTTTCTGTACGAATCATCGTGATCAAGCCGAAGAATGTTGATTAAAGTACAATAAATATATCGGACGAAGAAGTTTCGTACATGCCAAATAAAACCAGAACGGTTATCTGTAAAGTTTATCAAAGTAATCTCCTTTAACGGTAATTGCACCACATTATGGGGCCCTTGAGACCTCAAACAACATCCTAGATTCAGTTTTAATTTTACGATTGAGCTTAAAGATTATTATTTTCTAGCTGTTTGCTCGTAGAGAGGAAACTCTGCTACTCCAAAGTTAATTCTAGTTAAAAAAGAAATTTCATTTTACATGTTTTATGTAACATTTGTCTCTTTATCTCGTTTCTCTATGTGCAAATGGAAGAAAGAAACAATGCAATGAGTTATCATAGTGTTAACCCTTAATAGGGTTATTTATATATCAATAGACATTGCATCAAATGTAGTTTTTTCGGCCATCTTACTATTTTCGTGTCACACCCTGTTGCACCGATATTACGACCGCAGCGCTACTAGTAGTGAAAATTGAAACTAAAAAGATATGAAACAGCGTTGCCAGTTCTCGAGAGTTATTTATTGAATTGAACGGTTTGTCTATGTGCAAGTGGAAGAAAGAAACAATGCAATGAGTTATCATAGTGTTAACCCTTAACTTCGTAGCACAGACGAAGCATATATGAATAAACATTGCATCGAATGTAGTTTTTTCGGCCATCTTACCATTTTCGTGTCATATCCTGTTGCGCCGATATTACGACCGCAGCGCTACTAGTAGTGAAAATTGAAATTAAAAAGATATGAAACAGTGTTGCCAGTTCTCGAGAATTATTTATTGAATTGAACTTACGGTATTATTATTTATTGAATTGAAGTTACGGTACTTCATCAATGAAGGAATATAATGAAATTGTAAAATATATGTTTTCTACCTCTTGATCTATAAAAACATAATTTATATCACACAATGTGCCCGTCTGTATCAAATTTGTAAATATGTTTATATTTTTCATTAAATATATCTTCATTATTAAAGAATTATTAAAGAATTATATTAAATAAATAAGAAAGTTTTATTATTGCCATAACATTGATAGACAAAGTAGTTTATAGAAAGATTTCGAATAATATTTTGATTAACAAGCGTAATTTTTAACCAATGAATTACAGAATTTATGTTGTTTGTCGTAACCTCATCACAATGCAAAAAATTTGACATAAACTTGAATATGTAATATAAGGAACGTGTAAATGAGGAAACATAATTAAAATTATTATATATAATGAAAATGTATAAAATCTATAACACGGACAGAGTTCTTTCCAATACATAGAGCAGAATGATTTATTAGCTTCACATTTCGCTATTGAAAGTTTTGACAACACTGTAACGGGTTTCAAAAGCACGTTGCTGGTTCATTAACTAGTTCGCCAACTCGCCGCTGTTTAAACGTAGAGCGCGCTAAAGAGAAAACCAGTGTGTCGGTATTTCAGGTCACGAAACCCCGTAAGATGCAACGTCTATTCATATCACCTCGTCAGTGTTCGTGAATTCCTTCGTGAATGCTGACAAAAAAAAAAATTGCGGCAAGGTGGAAGAGAAAAGGACTCACCCACGTCTGACGAAGTTGGCCAAATAGTGGACCAGCAATTTGGACAGGTTCTCGTCGGTCGGCGTGTAGTTGGCCTGGCCGAAGGGAACGGGCAGGTCGTCCGCGCGAAGCAGAGGTATCCCCAGGAGATAGGGGACCTCCTCGCCCTTCTGGCTCGGCCGGTCACCGAGCTGAAAGTGCAGAAAGTAGCCACGTCCCCCGGCGGTCGAGTGCAACAGTGCCAGCCTGAGAAGAGGAGCGGCCACCTGGCCGTCACCGAGCAACGAGAGCAGACCCTCGCAGATCGCTGACGGGCTCTGCTCGCCCCTCTCCCAGTCCGTGTACTCGTTGCGGAGGGTCGAGTAGATCTCGTGAAGGTGGTAGCGATAGGTGTTTCGCACGTACGTGCGCAGGATACGATCCCTCCTCGTCTCGTTCAAACCGTTCTGCAATCATCGTCACGTCGGATGCACGCTCGTGTCAGCAGTCATCGAAACAAATTTCTTCCCCACCGATAATAACATGCTGATCTCCATTCGATCCAAGATCACTTATTCTTAGAATTTAGACTAGTCAGCGGATCCGTGCTGATATTATATAAAAGAACTTTTATAGAAAAGAAGATATTACATAAAAGATCTATCATCCCGATAATTTCGATCCCTGCCGATTAATTCCACGTTAAATATCATTTGAACATATTTGAGTATAATCACTCACAGCCAATGCTTAAATGCCGTAAATTGCATAAATTCATGCATTTGCATGAATTCGTACATTTGCATACATTTTCATGCTTCAAATGCCATTACTTGAACGGAATTATTATTTCTAATACCACTTTATTTGAGAAGCGATACTTCACGATACTTCCTCTGTAAATAAATTGCTGATCAAAGCAGAGAAAGAATTTTTCAGAATGAAGGACAAATTTGAGGTTAAGTCACGTTGATACGTGCAATGGAAAATCAAAAAGGAATATACTGAAATATAAATTACAATAGAAATTGAATTGGGAGAAAGATTTATTTACTTAATAAACGAAGAATGAAAAGTTGTAATTAAAAATCACGACTATATAAATAAAATTGTAAATAATATATTTAACATAAATAAAATATAAACAAAATAAATTTATATAAATAATAAAATAAAATAAAAATATATTCATATAAATAAATAATAAACATTATTACAAGCATTAATATACGTACGTACGAAATTAGAATGTTATGTTTTGCATAATTCGTTTGCAACACTGTTATTTCTAACTCTTTCTCGAGTTTCCAGACTTCTGGCAATTAATTTGAAAATCAAGGAGGCACGAGTTTGGAGTTTCGGCGCATGCATGTGAATGAATGAAAACGTTTCGATCATTGTGAAATCGTGAAGTAGCGGCGGAAATACGCTCGGGCAAAGTGTCCATCGACCGTGAATGTTGGATTGTCGATAATATATCCGATTTCCACGGGATCGGTGCCCGCATTTCGCGACAGTGCGCGCCCACTAATTACTAATTTATTGAGCCGCCGTGTCAATTATCAGCGAGACCGATCTCGTCAAGCCCGTTGCCTCGATTAAAAATGATTGTTCCCGATTGTCAACGCTAATTCTCTTCATTGCTCGATCCGAATGCATAATTCCCATTTTGCAAACGGCCCAGGCCAGGCTTCTGTCGAACGAGAAAAAAAAGGAGAATTCCTTGTAAGTAGTTTGATGCGAAGATAAATAGAATTTAGAATTGGAATTGACGATCCGTCAGAGGGAGAAACCGTGAAAGCAAGAATTTCAAGAATTTTTTCAAAGTACAGCTGTCGATGTTATTTCTTGAATTTTAGTTTGGAAATACTTTTTGGTAATGATTCGATTTAGTACTTCCACGACGTTATAGGGAAGAAGAACAGTTGTCAAAAATTCGTCGACTCGCGCGAATTTGCTTTCTCCTTTCATTTCGCATAAGAGGAACTTTCCAATTCATTTAAATAAATTAGATTAAATTTAGTAAATTTCTAACCTGGACATATTTTCCTCTGAAAAGAAATTTCGCATCGAAATGCACTCGATTAATGTCTCCACGACGAGCAATTATTCTGTTTGGACATAATTACCATAATTCGACTCTTTCGGCAGTCACGAGACACGCTGTTGAAATTTGCTTTACAGAAAATTAATCTACTTTTCAGAGAACGTTCTTGTTAAACACATTATAGTACTTATATACTTCATATAGTACATATATAGTACATATATATAGTACATATATAGTACATATATATAGTACATATATATAGTACATATATAGTACATATATATAGTACATATATAGTACATATATATAGTACATATATATAGTACATATATATAGTACATATATAGTACCTATATACATTATATACTTCGCGAATTAAATATGTTCTCGTAGGATCACCAATAATAATACTAATAATACAATAATATTATCTTCTGTTTTACATTCCTTCAGCTTACTTCA